ATTAAATGGTTACATCTACTAATTAGAACCAAAGGCAGGATTAAACAATCCTTTTCTGAGATACTGCTTGCTATAAATTTTCTTAAATTACAGGATATGGCTGATGGCTTAGGAGAGCCAACAAATAGAATGATCATACGAATAATTGATAAGAAACTTAGGAATTAGTATAAGATCGAAAAATTTTTCACTAATATAAGTAGTAATATTCATGTTTTTACCAAATTCTGGAAGGGCAAGTTAATTAATTTATCCAGTATATTTCTGGAGGATAATTTGTAGGGAAGATGATTAAATTTTGATCTTTCAATGAAGTAAGCCATTCTCCGGACATAATCGTTGAATTAATTAGCTTGTCTGATAGATTGCATAAATAGTTAAAGAATAATATTGAATTTGAAGTGGTTCTTCATTTTGAACGAATAATCACGCCCAAGTAATCTTGTTTTCTCAGTAAGGTTTCTGGATATTTAAGTCGCAATAATCTAATTGTTATGAAGTCCGACAAAGTTGGAGCAATGGTAGTGCTGGATAGCTCAAGCTATGTAGAGACAATTCTAGTTCATTTAAATGATACTGACACGTACATGACTTTAAATAAAAATTCAACAGAAAGACCTAAGACTAGGCTGAAGGAAGCCCTTAAGATGCGCATAGTAATGATGACATGGAGAAGTGGAAAATGAATTCGCTACTCTAGATAGACGCAAGGGCACTCACAACTTACGGTAAATTTTAACATATTTCAGTAAATCACTAATATGAGATGTGTTTACTCTATTTCGTTTAAGGTGATGAAGGACTGGTAGTTAAATTTTCCTACAATCAGTTAAATTTACGTTTTCACTAGCTTGCTTCCCCAATAAATATATTATTCCAGCGTTGACTGCAGTTTCAATCTCGCCTAGATCTTACCAGCATCCCAGGCTGGACTTGAACCATTACAGTGTAACGTATACATTCAATACGTTAAACACTCTGCCACACTGCTACGAGTCTCTTTGGGTGACAGGACAGATGCAAATTTTAAAGAACGCCAGGCATTTTCCAATATCACATTCTTTGGTGGAATTGCCGATGAAGCTAATTTATATTTTTCATAGTAATCGAATACATTATTTTTCGTTTACAAGTGGGTTTTCACCACCTGAAATTAAATAGGGTGTATACATCTCATATATATGATTTACTGGTGGTCTCGAAAATCTACTTACAAACGATAAATAAGTAATGTAGTCGATTGCAATAGAAAGTTTAACTTTGCTTCATCGACAATAACACCAGAAAATGTGATATTGGAAAATGCATGGCCCCTCTTGAAATTCACATCTGTCCTGTGATGCAAACGCACTTTTGTAAATTTGGCTTAGCGGTTTACGTGTCGAGCTTATGCACTGCATTGTCATTTGTCGGTTTCCGCTTGTGGTGCTGATGAAACTTAGGCGAGGCCGAAACTGTAGTGAACCCTGGAATAGAATACCATTTGCGAAAGCAAGAATATAGAAAATTCAACAACCAGTCCTCCATTATTTTTGCCCCAATAGGGTAATCACATCTCATATTTTTATAATAATTTTTTTCTACGATATTTGTTAGCCATATTACTAGAACATTTTGCCGATTTATTATGGATATATTTTTACCTCAAGAATGCACTTTGCATTAGAATTTCATCTGATCCCGGTTAAAAAATACTCAGGACAATAGTCAACAAGAATTCACAACTCATGAGTAAATATTTTCTTGCATAATCGTATTATAGATTAATTGTCTATATTGATTCTTAGGTAATTATTACATCAATTTACGTTTAGTGATATTTTATTTTTAAACCTCTTCAAAAATAGCAGTCGTTTCTAGCAACCTCTAAAATAGTGATTAACTAAAATTTATTTTATTATGGAATGACTCCTTCATTCTTACTTCGGACATTCTTATTTGCTTTATCGTGAACTAACACATGCCTGTAACATTTATTTCTCGTAAATCTTTGTTTATAGTCAAAACTTCATACTACAAATCAGAATCTATCAGAATCTTTATCGTGAACTAACACACGCCTGTAACATTTATTTCTCGTAAATCTTTGTTTATAGTCAAAACTTCATACTACAAATCAGAATCTCCCATCACATCTGCAGATGGATGAATACTCATATTTTTTAGCTTTCTAGTATCTTAAGAGTATTTATGTTAATTTATGAGATAGTCATTCCTTATTTTTTACCAACTTGATCCTTCAAGTCCATCAGCTATTGAAATTAATGAAATAATTTTTCACTGAGAAAGTTCTCAATAAATAGGCTCTAAGTTAAATTCCCTTTGTTCCCAAACCGGAAGTCTTATTAAGCCATTTTGGTATTATATTTCAATGCGAATAGGATCAGGCAAACTTTTATATATGAGCATTCGATGCCTTCCGCTTCCTTTTTTCGTTTTCTCACTTCAAATTATTTTGTGACCCTTGATATAATGTGTCTTACCACATGGTCGTTGATTAGCTACTAAGCGATCAGCCTAATTCTTCCACTTTCAATTACCGCAAGTGTTGCCTGTACGCAATTATTTATGAATATTTAGTCAGATGTATTCAAAGGTATTAGAATTTACTCTTTAATATATATCGACCGCGTGGATGACAACGCAACCTAAACTTTATGAGAAACCGAGAAAAAATATCATCCTGAATCTCATAATCGGAGCTAAAATATTTCGCCTAATTTCTCTTCTTCGATCCCAACTTTGCACATTTCACTATCTCCACGCATGTCTAGCTAAGATTATAATTTTAGTTAATTTTTAGCTTAGTTTACTTGTTGTTTGTCAGTCATTTAATTCACTCTATACTCTTCTTTTTCCACCCTAATCGGATATGATATTTTTTGGTGTTAAACTCTCAGATCTACCGATTTTCAAGACCACAAAAAAGGATATAACGCAAGAGAATTCTTTAATATAACCACTATTTTCAGCTTCTGGTTTCTTAAATAATATCTTCATGCACTAATTAGGTCTAATTTAATAACAAACTATAATCTCACCCTCTGCAAATATTCCAACTGTGCACTCATTTTCCTGCTTGTAAAGTAAATATCTCACCGGGCGATCAAATTCGTACCTCTGTTTTTCGCTTACCACCTTGCCTGAGTTAAATAAGCAAATTCTTGTCTTTCATATTTTTAGTCAGATTTAGGGACTACTCCAGGCTGGACATTTAAAAATTTGTATAGAAACGTACCTGTATCTTTGACCATAGTTGTCATAATCTCATCGGGCTCTTGACTAAATTCCTGCAACGATGATGGCAAAACGACTGAGAATTTATCTAGTTATTAGTCTGTGAATATACAAAATTCATGAAAATTTGGTAGAATACTGGGTACACGATACGTTATAAGAAATCCCACGTATAACTAATTTGTGAAACTTAGGCCAGACTAATTCTCTGCCTCAAAAGTACACTTTCTTGGTCTTCATATATAAGATAAAAAGCAAATAGTTTCAAAACTTTATACTTCCCTAGTTAGAATAATATCTCACTTTTCTTTTCTTTTACTTAGCTTAGTGCAATTTCCTCTTTCTTTCTCATTTAAAACTCGGAGTCGCTTGAATGAATGGAATCTGTCAATTAGTGCATCGGCCTTTCGGTTGCCAAGTTGTCTGAAAAGTCGCCAGATAGAAACTTGGTGACGATTTGCGCCGAGCGTTATCCCATTATTACATTATTATGTTGTCTTTGGTTTGATAAACTAATGATAGGACATTGCTGCTCTATAGAACTGCGACTTCACCCCGCTCTTATTCTCAAAAACCACTAATTTGGGGGGAATAAGTTATGTTGCAAGCCTTTCATCATAATTAGGGTATTCTTAACGCAGACTCCCAGGCGTATTTAAGCCCTTTGGGCTTAAGAAAGTTGTCTTACTGTCTTTTATAAAGGTTTTTTTGGTCCGCATTTCACATCATCTTTAAATAATTTTTCAAAATTTCACAAATTTATACTTTATGTGCCGTTTTTTGAAGAGCGTTGTTGTCCTTGCGAGTTTTATCATCGCTTGAAGAGGATTAGATGTCTCCAATAACTATGGGGTATCTTTAGAAGAGAGTTGTTGTGAGGCTAGACTTATGGTCAAGCAACTTAGTTTTTTGCATTTCCCAAATTAGTGCCATGTGAAAGCATGTTTTTATATTTTCACACGGCATCTTAGACTAGTAAATTCCTTTTGTTTTTCCTTTTGCTTCAATCGTATTTTAATTTTTGGAAGCTTAGCTCAAAATACCAAGATATAAAATCTCAGAGGCGTTTTACTTGGGTACCGAAATTCGATCTGCTCAATCTGTTTGTGGCATTAAATAACTCTTGCTAAAAATCCTCTAATATGAATGTAGACCTAGTCGCATGAATCAAGAGACGGGAAAATATCACACGACCATATCTAACAATGCATATGAGGCTTTCTCCAAGAATAAAATTTGGCTAAGATATCCAGCTTAAATTTCTTAGTGAAGGTCATCCCCTTTCCCTGCGTCTTACTTATTGTTAAGATTTTATGCAAAATGCTAGGAAGACCATACGCGTTAGTTCATTTAGCTTTCATTGACCTCGAATATGGATCTATGCAACTTTTTAAAGCCAGTTCGGAGTGGCCATCACTCAAAGTCTACATACTTATATAACGAATCCTTTGCAATAAACCTCTGATGCTTTTATAATTTGAGCCTTTTCCATAAACTTTCGCTCCTCTAAGCCAGACTTGAAGCCTCTTTTTTCTCTCTTTCGATTCTGGTTCCCATTATCACTTATAGTTCTCAAAAAGCAAAATTTTATACTCATTGCTGATACTTGTAAAGACTTCTCTTCTTTTAATTTATTTCATATGGATCTTTGAGATTGTGTTGGCACTTAGTTTGCCTCTTATAAGTATCTCAGCTAAATACAAGTATATACCTCCAACTGTACGTTCATATTTGTTTGTTTTACTAACATTTTACTCTTTCCAAGGAGGTCTACTCCTTGCCACCTGCAGACAGAGAAGAACCAGTCAAATGTGATGAATGGATTCTACGAGCGGAATAACAATCTGGCTAGTCAGATATCTTCTCACTATCCGACCCTGAATGGGAGTAAAGGCGCCAGTCCCATATCCATTTCGAACGGTCCCAGGCATGGAAGTTCAGGAAAAAATTCGAGTCTCATCAACAGTGGTGGTGGAAAATGCAGTCCTGCTGGAGGCTCAGGCTTTTCAGACCGAGGGAGCAATGGATCTACAAGATTTCGCCTGCCTTTAGAAATCCCAACTCTCAAAGCAGCCCAGAATCCTGTATGGAGTTCCGATCTAGTGGAAAGCGACAGATCTTGGCTGAGTAAGTCATTAATAATTATCGCTAATGTTTCATTAATTAAACTAATTATTGCCAGGTCTGAGCTTCCTCATTATGATTTATTAAAATTGGAATTAAAAGTGGAAAACTATTTTAATATAGGTTTAATACTTCCAATTTACCATAGCAACTACTTCAACCTTGTACAGAGCTATGTAAAAGCCTGAATTACAAAAAGAACTCAATTATATAAATTCATTGTCATTTGTCTCGATGCTTTACAAGAATTTGAGTCGTAAGCTTTAATTTAGGTTGCCAAAGAATTCTAACTTATCATAAGCTTAGTTTTTATCTAAGCACAGGCTGGTAGCGCGTAAAGCTGATATTACTTAAGTTGAGTAACCCTTAACTTATTCAGGAAAAAATTCATGACAATCTATTCCAATAGTTCGATGCTTTCATCTCAGTGCCATCATCTTATCCTCTTTTCAGCCTGATTTTTCCGCTTATTTAATCTACATGAAATTGCTTACTACTTGAAACAGAATATGCTATACTCGACTATATGGGCTCCGGGTTACCTTATCTAAATCCTGTATTTTCAAGCCTGTATATGAGCAGAAGACGGCAGGTAATATATTTAATATTAGCAGTCTTGATTAATAGATTAGTTCCCAGGTTAAGTTAAGTGGCACATTTCCCCGCCAATAGGGAAGCCTCATTTGCAACTATCGAAGCAATATAGCTAATTATCGAAATCAAAAAACCTGTTTAGCCAATGAATGGTTGCTATAACAATTAGAGCCTAAATCGCTTAGGTGGCATCTACATAGGTCACTACGCTTAAATGAGTCTTCTATCCAAGGCATTGTCTTATGATTCTGGCATAATTACGTTGACTTTCCCCAAAAACTCCGAAATTCGGCCAAATAACTAAATTTTTCACATAGTAGACTATCGAGAACAGCCATTTTTCTTCTAATTAGACATTAAATCCATTTTACTCTGCAAAAAACTATATTTTTCGAGTTTATCATACAATAAAATTCTAGGGTGACTTTAAACGGTTTATATCATATCTCGACACCTTTCCCACGCCTAACACTGTCTATACTGAGACAGAATAGTTTAAAGCAGCTCTTTCACCAATGAAAGTTTATAGACTAAATAATAACGCATATATTTTTAGCTTTATAAGTAGGATTTCGAGACTCCTAATAAATCAGTCATATGAGATGTATTCACGACATTTCGGTTAAAGTGAAGAGGACTGATAGTTGAATTTTCT